AATAACTCTCCATCACGGTAACTAATTTATGAGTTAAATTTGAATTCAATGATAAATTATTGCATTCCTATCAAAAACGATTCTGATCAAAGATTTTGATAATATTATATTGAACTAATTTTTGCTAAATATAATTCATATAAACTTTACAATGTGATAATTATWTATTACTTATTATTATAATATTACACATAATATTTCTAGCTGTTTTCAACTTGGCCAGGGTACTATAGAACGGTGTGAAGAGGTTTGTCGTACAAATAGCTTAAAATGAATCGAAATATTTTTAAAAACGTATTGTCTATTATAAATAACTATATATCTTTGGTAGCGAATTCCTACGAGTATAATGATAATATTTTTAAAATTATTAGAAAATTACTAATGGCATTAGTTATCTTTTAAACATCCAGTTACAATTTTAACTTTAAATTACTGTAAAAAAATGCTTTCGTGTATTATTGAAATTTTTAGATTTCTGTATAAAAACAACATTATATGAAAAACCTTATATTAAATTAAATCCCCCAGCTTAAGCTTTAGCTATTATAATTGAATTTTTTTTTAAGTTTTCTAGAAAATGTTAATATAAATATTTTGTGAGAGATACAGGTTTCTAGTTATTTATTTTTCAATTTGGTAAGTACAGCAAAATAATAAAACTTATTTGATAAAAAACTGATTTTTGAGTAGATTTTCTTGGTTTTCCTTATTATTATTTTTTTTTTTTTTTTTGAAAAATAGTAAATACCTACTGTGAATTATTTGATTTTGACCCCCCAACCAGATCCAATTTACTACCAGAAACTACCACTTAAATTTAAGATCAAACGATTTTTTAGTACTCTTAAAAGTGATGTCAGACACAAAAAAATAAATATTATTATAAGATGTATTCTATTTCCTATTTCATTCGGAACATTTTTGTATTGAAATATTATCTTTTAATATTTATAGGGTTTTTTAATTGAAAAATATGTGTTTTGTAATAAATGAATTGAGAATTTATAGATGGTATAAATATTGTTCGTTCATAGTATTTCCTATTAAAACTATTCTATACA